AGATAGATAGATAGATAGATAGATAGATAGATAGATAGATAGATTAGAATCAATAGATAGATAGATAGATAGATAGATAGGATGGGATGGGATGGGATTGGATGGGATGGGATGGGATGGGATGGGATAGCATAGGATAGGATAGGATAGGATAGATAGATAGATAAATAGATAGATAGATAGATTAGATTAGCTTAGATTAGATTAGATTAGATTAGATAGACAGACAGACAGACAGACAAATAGATACGATAGATACGATAGATAAGATAGGATAGATAGGATGAATAGGTGAAATAGGATAGATGGATAGATAGATAGATTGATTGATTGATTGATTGATGGGTAGATAGACAGACAGACAGACAGACAGACAGACAGACCAACAGATAGTTAGACAGATAGTTAGACAGACAGACAGACAGACAGACAGACAGACAGACAGACAGACAGACAGACAGACAGACAGACAGACAGACAGACAGACAGACAGACAGACAGACGTCACTTCTAACTTCAAAACAACATATGGTACGCCCTTTTCATCAATTTCGGCATGCCCCTTTGCCCGCACGGGGGTAGCAGGGACCCGCCTTCGTCTCAAAGGTCCCCGTGCTCAAGGAGATGGGCTCCTCGCCGAATTCCCGTCTCATTTGGGTGAGTCCAAGCTGGGCTTGGGCTGGGGTCTGGAGAACAAAATTGACTTAGCCTCCCACCGACTAACATGGAAGCCAGGTCCTCCAGAGAGAGGTTAGAATAAGGGTACCCTTTTTCTGTAGTCTATTTTAGTAGGGGAACCCTCCCCACAAAAAGGGTAGAAGGGCAAGTGCACAGACGCCTGTGCTTCCATGTTAGGGAGGGTAGTTTTGGCAATGGTGTTGGCCCTGACCAACGACCATGGTTGAGTTTCCTTCCCATGGTTGAATACCCTCAAGCAAAAAGCACACGTCTGGTGTTGCCCGCATATTTTCCATTACACCGAAGGATCCTTCTAAAAGAACGAGCCACCCATTTCAAAGGGAGAAACAAAAGGTGCCACTGAAGAGGGGACTGACTGACTCCTATTTACCCGCAAACGGGCCGGTTTCTGTTTTTTTCGGCGTACCCAACTTGGATAGACCGGCCGACGCAAAAAGAATTGAACTTGCTGGTTCGAGGCGAATTTGTTGACCCTCGAATGGTTGGGGGTGTCCGACTTTTAGATGGGAACACCCTCCTTTGGTTTACTCGTCCGGGGTTGGCATTCGTCAGGCAACGACAACCGAATCCTTACATCGGGTCACTTACGCATCCAGGGACTAGGGGGGGTTGATGATTGCCAATCTGCAGGGCTGGTGGCTGGGTGCTGGAGAGCCAAAAAATGCTGGGCATGTAGTGGTTGGCAACCTGCGGAAGGAGCAGAAACACCCGAAATCTTCGCATGTCGACATGGACAGAGTGCTTTGGCTTGCTGCAGGCAGTTGTCACTTTGCGACCAGACATGATCAACCTCAGTCAAGCAAATATGGAGGCCGGACAGTTCTTGGAAGCCTGCCAAAGCTCGCCTAAACTGAATCCCTGCGTGTCTGCAACAAGATGTCGTCAACCATTTCGGTTGAAGCAAGGAGCAAGCGACAAGTGAATTCCATGGCGGTTTACGGAAGCTGCTGGTCTGCAATCGCTTTCATGTCCGCTTGCTCGCTGGAGTCCGCAGCAAAAGCAGCCACTGCAGTCCTGGAATTGTTCCCAGAACCGCCACAGCTCCAGCGAGAAGGAACCGCCGCTCCTACGATGGGACTGGAAGACGTTCTTTGAACCCTGAAACCGCGAATCATGACAATTGAACACAGTTGTTTTACGACTTATCCATCACAACTAATTACAGTGCTTCGCAACCTGTCACAATTGATCAAAGCGCAAACTCGCGAAGCGAAGCTCCAAAGGAAAAGGGAGTCTTGGTGACATTCGGGCTGTGCTCGGACAAGTCTAAGAACTTCGTCACAGCAAAAGTGCCATGGGAACCCTTCCAGTTGCTTAAGCCACCTGCAAAAAAATACAATATGTCCAATGGTGAAAGATTTCCCTTTCAAATCAACAAGGGAAGAAAAAAGAAGAAAAAAACACAAATCTCAGCGAATGGATCTACCTCATCTAGACTTGTGGGCGCTTGGGCAACCGACTTGGCCAAAAAAAATCGGGCGCGCTGCTTATAGGGAGCTGCCACGGCAAAACGGCTGGGTTAAAAATAGGTACCCAGACTCCAGGGAACAGGAACTCAGGCCATTTGCTGGTCAACTGATTTGCCCTCAGTTTCAACTTCACAACATGGACCAAATGGGTCTGTCTCTTTTTGAGGCGACCCTCTACGGTGGAGAACAAAAGGCAACTCCAAACATCCCCCATTTTGACACACCCGCATCGCAGCCCCCCATCTTCAAGTGCGCCTCTCTGAGATCCATTCAACCCCCAAGACAAAGCGAGCGAGGAAAAGACACCACCCCTTGGCCTTTAGGCCGGGCCTTGGGCCGCATTTTAAGCAATGGCTCGGATCGAATTCTTCCCCCCAAGTCGCATCCAAAATAAACCCACCCAGGGGTCCATTTTTTATTACCCCAAGCTGGACTTAAACTGGGGGGCTCTCTTTTTTGGGCAATGAACCACCCCAGGTTTCAGTCCACCTTAAATATAGTCAAAAAATGGAACCCTGGACCAACCACATCCCCCAAGCTAAGAAACTCCCTGGGAGGGTTGAATGGACCTATCTGAGGCCAAAGCATGCAGGCTTCTCGAGGAAAAACTGGGCGACTGGCTGTTGGAACCCTAAAAGCCCGTAACAATTTGCCCAAAGGAGGACCCCCCTGGTATGACCGGGATCCTTACATTATACACCTGAACATTGCCTGGTAAATGGTGGTGTCCGTTTCTTTCGGTGAAAAAAGCCATGTTTCAAATGGGCAAAATATTTAAAATATATCTTTCAAGGAGCCCTGTGTGAACCCCTAGTTTACTAGTACAAACCATCGTGCAAAGCCGGGAGCCCAGAACGGGCACACCCGAGAACTGCAAAACGCCGTCGGGCCTTTTCTCGCCTCCTGAGTGGCCCAACTTTTCGTCTGCCACCAAAATGGCCCCCAAAACCGCGGCAAAAAGTCGCTCCACCGCCCGAAAGCAACGGAACGCACGGATTCCCGTGGCCACTCAGGTTTCCCCGAACCCGCAGCCGCCCGCGTGCGCCTCGTGGGGTTCAGCTCCAAGAGGGCGGAGGTCCAGCCGGAGCGGCCTCGAGAGGCGTCCACCCGATTTCGAGGGCCACACGGCAGAAGTGCAAGATGCTCGTGTTTTTTTTTTCGCCGAACGGGGGAAACTACCCTGAAAGTAAAAAATGTTGAGCTTCTATGAAAAAGACTAAGGAGAAAAGGCAGGAATCGATCGCCGGTGTTCCCCAAAAGCTGATGAAGTTACCGGTTCCATGAAATTGCCACTTTTGCAGGTCCAAAACGAGAAAGGTCTCCGTATTTGTTTGACCCGCAAAGATTGGCTGGCGCCGCACCCAAAAACAAAAACGGCCTGGCCTTTCCCCGCAGGGCCGACCAACTGCTCCATGGCACCAGGGACGCGGATGCTCCAGCTCGCGCCAAGGGAGGGAAATGTGCTGGTTATCTCAAAAGGAACTGGAACGCCCAAATAGGCCTGTCCCTTTTGAGGGTTCTACCTTTTTTGGTAGTTTTAAAGGGAAGCCAAAAGGAAAACCCGTTTGGGGTGAACCCGCACAAGAAGAGACTTTGACATCAAATGTTGAAACCCTTGGGTGGACGACTCAAGGCAGGAACAAAGGCGAAACGGTCTGAAGGCTCAAAGTAATTGGTGCGCAGGCTTGGAAACTTTCACGATCTGCGCGTGCGGCTTAAGAGTAATGCATCAAAATATGGTTTAACAGAGACACCGTGACCATGTCTCGATTAGCCTGGTTTGGTATCTCTGAGACTTGGACTCCGAATGGGCTTTCTCGGCGCATTCCTGCCACATCAGCTACCCATGGTAAGTCTCAGTTGCCCAGAGGACCCAGAACGAAAAGGCCAACCTTTTGGAACCAAAAGACAAAATATGGGGGACAAAACTGGAACAAAAAGGTCAAAAGGCTGATTCGCTTTGGGCAACTAAGAAGCTGTTCTTGCTCCTGTTGAGCAGTGGCTGTGGCACGCAACACGGCTCCGCTCGTGACGCTGTCGACTACAGCAACGAGGATCGCAACAACAAACCTCACCTCCTGAGCTTGACCATCTAAACCGCAAGTTTGGATGTTTTTGGTGGAGCAGAGCCATCGAGCCCATGAAAAGGTGGGTTTCCACCCACCCAAAGGTTGCTTTTGGGGAGGGGCCGCTGGCGACCAGGTCAACACCAAGTGGCGCTATGTCCTCATGGGCGGCTCGTCTGTTTTCAGATATCTTAAAAATGTGGCGAGAGAAGGGGTTGCGTCAACTCGAGTCTGTTGCTCTCTAAGTTGCCGTGTCGAAAACTTTGATCCAGAAATCCACGAGGGTCCCCGTTTGGTCTCACGGGGGGACCCAGAAAAAAACAAGGCGATCACCTGTTCTTTTGGAACCAAAACGAGAAAAAATGGACTAAACCTTTTGGAAGCCTTTTGGAAGCCTTTTGGAAGGCGGCCAAAACTGGAAAACCAAAAGGTCAAAAAGTTGATTCGCTTTCGACTAAGTGGTTGAGCCTTGAACTCTCAAAGAGCAGAGCTGGCACTGGCTGGCGGACAAAAGCAGTCGGTTCTCAGAAACAAAAAAACCCTTCCAACAACTTCCTCAGAGAAATCGGAAGTGTGTGACCCTACAAATCATTGTTTTTCACCCTTCCGGGGTCTTTCATCACCTTGCCCGAGCCCTCAAAACCGACAAACCATTGCGCCAAGAGCTAAAGGCTAGAAGGTTAAAGGTCGAATCGACCAAAGCAAATGCCGCCAAGTCGAGTGATTCTATGCGAATTCCGTCTCCTTTACCCACAAGGAACAACAAACGGGACCACGGTTCCGGAGAATGATGCATCCTTCACCGGCTGGAACTACCCTTGCTTTTGTTTGCGTGCTTCAGAGCCGCTCTGCCCATGCCGCTCCAAAGGATGTATCTGACCACCACTGTTTCCATTCTTACCCGTCAAAGTCAGCCACTTCAATGGTAGCTCAAAAAGGAATCGCTACAACCCGATGCTCTGACTTTGACACCCCCGAAATACCGGCCGCGTACTTCCACTCACGAGGCGATCGCGATCCGAGCAGCTTTCGACCGCCCGAAGTCGGCCTTCGGCCGCGGATCCGACCGCTCGGATCAGCCCTCTAAAGACCTTTGATGCAGGGATCGGTCTTCAATCCCAGCGTGGCAGGCGAAAAGCACCGGCGCATGGGGTTGAGGCTCGGTACTACCCCAAGCTTTCTGTGGATGTGTTTTTGGGAGCCAAACGGATTGTAAAAAGACACGCTCAGATTTGGGGGTCTTGATTGTTCCACTTTCAGAGATGACCGCCTTTAAACCATGTTGGTCAATCCAAAGGTTGTCACTTGGAACGTGTCCTTGTCGGGTGCGGGAGAGTGGCCGTGGCTCAAAAATAGGGGCCCGAAATGGCACGCTGGTAAATGGAAAAGTAGACCAAACCTATGGTTTCCTGGCTCTTAAACTTTGAGCCACACCCCAGTTTTGAAGCCACCCAATGCCACCAAGAAAGGGTACCCTTCTCCAAAACGACAAACTGTTGGGAGAAACAAGTGTCCCCAGCCGGGCCCCCCTCATCGTTTGGAGTGCAATCACTAGTTAGCGGAATCTTTCGGGAAAGGGGAGACCACAAAGAAACATGTGTACTGGGAAGCCTCCCATTCTCAGGCCATGCGCCGATGTCAATCGCCGGGCACATGAATTCAAATGACACATTGACGAAACTTCACATAGCAAGGGGCCTTGAGCAACTGGCAGCCAGCAAAACCTCCCTGGGCCAACCAAATTGAGAAATGGATGCCAATGTCCGGCATCTATACTGATGGTATTGGCATGTCAGCTTTCTTGGGAAACCACCCTCTCTCTCCTTCTTTTTTTTTGGGGGGGGGGGTTGAGGTCGTCCCTCAAACAAAGGCAAATGGCCAGTGGGTAAATCACTCCGCAGGTTTCTTCCATCTCTCGGGGCTCTGGCCTGCCTGACCCCCCCGGTACAACGCTCACGGCTCAGTTTGCTCAAGATCGCTTGAGGGTCTTCCCTCAGTTGCCCTTGAAAAAAATAGAGCCCAGAAATCAGGGGCGATCACCTTTCGGAACCACAAGACGATCTGGAAGCGGAAACTGTTGCCTTTGGGCAACTATCGCCAAGTCAAGCCTTCTATAAAAGGAACCTTCCTAGTGACATACCCCATGGAACGTTGACGTCGCTTTGTGCTTCACCCAAGTCGAAGGGGCAACTCTGGTGGCTCAGTGGGAGGTTTCGTGCGCTGCTCCTTTGGCTGTCGCCCCCCTTTGCGGAACGGCCGGAGGTCGGCCTAGAGGTACCTGGCGAGGCACACGTGCGTTCGCTTGCCACGATGGCAAATTAGAGAAACCACCTTGCAAAACCTAAGGTAAAAAAAATAATTGAACCACTATAGAAACTGCAAGTACTGGGACGACTAGAAAGCCTTTGGCTTCGGCAACAAAACAAAACTAGGGTCCGTCTACGCAAAAACCCAACAGGAAAGCACACAATTCACAAGTGCAAAACCTAAGGTGCCCAAAGGTGGCGGAAAGGCTCTATGTCTCCGAGAAGGGGGGGTGCAGCTTCTCTTGACAAGTGGCAGACTAAACATGAGCCACAGTTAAAATTACGAGTTTCCCCCAAAAGGACGCGGGAAAATGAGAAACTGTTCCGTGCATTTTTGTTGCTCGTGCGCCATGTTTTTCGCCAATTGACCATAGACCACGAAATGTCTCCGAAAATCAAGTACGGTTTCGCCCAAGCCGACCAAAAAATAATGGACACTGGCATCGAACCTTCGAGGATCTCTTAGTTTGGCAAAATCATACAACCAGAAAAACTCAGTTGCCCAAAGGATCCACAAATAGAAGGCATTTGTATTGGGGCCGTGACCAATATGGCCGCCAAAACCGGAAAACGATTTGAGGTCATTTCAAGCCGGTTCGCTTTGGGTGGTGACTCAAAAAAACACAAGCCCAAAAAAACAATTCATGGAAACACTTGCCAGTTTTCTGCGGGACTAAATCATAGAAACCCCCAAAAACCCCGCAGCAACTTCCACGCCAAGGCGCCGCGCCGATTTCAGGCGCCGGAGGCCCAGGCGCCGTCAGCGCAGGGAGGGAAGGCTGGCGCTGAGGCCCAGGCTCGGAGGCGCCTCGCCGCGGCCAAAAAAGGCACAACGATACAAAAGGGGGTGTACGTGTATATACATATATATATATATATGCATGTATGTATGCATGCATGCATGCATGTATGTGTGTATGTATGTATGTATGTATGTATGCATGCATGCATGTATGTATGTATGTATGTATGTATGTATGTATGTATGTATGAAGGCATGTATGTATGTATGTATGCATACATGTATGTATGCATGCATGTATGTGCATGTATGATGCAAAGATCTATGTATGTATGTGTGCATGTACGAAGGTATGTATGTGTGTATGTATACAAGTATGTATGCATGTATGCATGCATTTGTGTATGTGTGTATACATGTACGCATGTATATGCATATATGTATACATCTATATATGTATATGTATGTGTACGTGAAAATATATGCATGTATGTATGCACGCATGTATGTATGTGTGTATGTATGTATGAAGGCATGTATGTATGCATGTATGTATGCATGTATGTATGCATGCATGTATGTGCATGCATGATGCAAAGATCTATGTATGTATGTGTGTATGTACGAAGGTACGTATGTGTGTATGTAGACAAGTATGTATGCATGTATGCATGTATGTATGTGTGCATACATGTATGCATGTATATACATGTATGTATACAACTATATATGTATATGTATATGTACGTGAATATATATATATATATGCAGGTATGTATGCAAGCATGTATGTATGTGTGTATGTATGTATGTATGCATACATGTATGTATGCATGCATGTATGTGCATGCATGATGCAAAGATCTATGTATGCATGTGTGTACGTACGAAGGTATGTATGTGTGTATGTAGACAAGTATGTATGCATGTGTGCATGTATGTATGTATGTGTGTATACATGTATGCATGTAAATACATATTTGTATACATCTATGTATGTGTGTATGTATACAAGTATGTATGCATGTATGCATGTATGTATGTATGACTGTATACATCTATGCATGTATATACATAAATGTATACATCTATATATGTATATGTATATGCACGTGACTATATATAAATGCATGTATGTATGTGTGTATGTATGTATGAAGGCATGTATGTGTGTATGCATGTATCTGCACGCATGATGCAAAGATCTATGTAGCATGTGTGTATGTACGAAGGTATGTATGTGTGTATGTATACAAGTATGTATGTGTGCATACATGTATGTGTGTATGTGTGTATACATGTATGCATGTATATACATATATGTATACATCTATA